GTATTATAGTTGAGATCCAGGATCCGCAACAATACCAACACCTCTTTGTCTGCGATCCCGTAGTTTAACTCGTTGGACTTCAACGTACGGCTCGTGAACATCACTGGACAGTAGATCTGATCATGCTCCTGCATCAATGCACCGGAGATCGCCCAATCACTGGCATATACAACCACCACAGCCTGCAGATCCGGATCAAAGTGACGTAGGATCGGCGTTATCGCGATCCTCTCCATTAACGCCTTGCATGATCTGTGGGCATGGATCCACCGGGGATCCAGATCTGCTACATTGTCCTTCTTGGTATCCGACATCTTTGCACTGTCAAGCGTAGGATCCCTTGACACTGGGTTCGGATCTCGCTGGCTCGGTTCGGGATCCGGACCCCGCGAGTCCGAATCTGCGGATCTGAGGGTTGCGAACTTATCGGATCCTCAGTCAGTACCTCCGGATCCTGGGTTTCCGACGCCAGTGCTAGCTGGATCCGGCCTCGATTCACGCACTTCTCCATTGCAGCATAGTCGATCCCCCTCAATTCATACAGTACAGACGCGTAGATCGCATAAGCCTCGATGAAGCGACTATAATAGTTCAGACTGCCAAAGAGGATTGCATAGCACGCAGGGATCCGGGAAACTCGAGATCCGTCAACGCCGACAGATCTATCGGATTCGTCTCCAGTCCATCATGCGATACCTTGTGACCTAGATATTCCACCTTGGGCATGCCCCAGAAACTCTTGACAACACTGATCGCAAGTTCCATTTGTTGCACGCCTCCAGAAGATCTTCCACACAGTTACATAACTGACCCCAATTATTCGCTGGAACTAAGATATCGTCGATGTAGGATCTGCGTCCTAACACCGATGGTTTGCCCGGATCCTCAGGTTCTCCGGCCTCAAATACATCCAGACGTTCGGATCACCTGCAATTTTCGGGATCCGAGTGAATCCATATAATGCGTTGTCGATCATGCGCCGGTAGATCTGCGGTGCATTCTTTAGCCCAAAAGGCATCCGATTCCACTCGAAAAGTCTGAATGGGGTAATAAAGGCCGAGATCAGGCGGGCCCGATCCGTCATCTTCACCACCCAAAAACCACTTGCCATGTCAAGTGAGCAATACCATAGTGTAGACTCGAGATCCTCCAGTAGATCGTTGATCAGCGGCATCGGGTAAACCATCAGCTGTCGAGACTGTTAACCAACCGATAATCAATGCACAATCGTATATCCACACCATTCTTCTTGATGATCACAATGATCGGTGATGCCCATGGAGATCTTGAGTGGTTGATCATCGTAGCCGACAGAAGACCCTTGATCAGCTCTGCCAATTTCTCATGGAACTGGATCCGCAGCTTACGACATTTGAGCGCGATCGGCCGAGCTCCTCTCACATTAATATCGCACACAACCCCTCGAGCTGCCGGTGGGAGCGCATTCCCCTTGCCGATCAGGAGGTGTCGAAACTTCCAGATCCGCTGGCGAAGTCGGTCGATCTCTTCTGGCGTCTGATTGTCGAATCCACACAATTGGATATCCTCGATCTTCACATCTGCCGTCGTTACTGGGACTTCGGGCAGTACCGCTAGTTGTCCGTCGACATCTTCGGCGTAGAGATCACTGCCCTCGTGGTAATACACGCATTCGTCGTAATCCTGATCCGCGTCCCAAGTGAGGTCCAGATCCGATGTGTCAGGTTGATCTTCAAGAACAGCTGCCGGGTCCCCGTCCTTTTTCTGTGATATAGACGTGGCGTCCTTCTGGTTCAACGGGTCACCCAAATTTTGGCTCGTCCCAGATTCTACACCCATCAATGATGATGGGTGCGACCCATCACCCTTCAACATCGCCACCTTTGGATCTTGGACTTCCTGAACTGGTGGATCTTGATCCACACCAGTTACACCACTAGGGGCTTCATCTGCCAATACTGTTTCCACGGCCGGATCGTCGACCAGAGCCAGGCTCACTGCTGTAATACCTGATACACTTGGTCAATCGCCCTCACGACCGTTACGACTTGTGACATAGAGTTGTCATCTGTGATAGACGACAGATCCGACTCGTCACTTGCGACGGACGCCACATCCAACGGTTGACAGTCCAGCGGCGGATTGTCCGACGGCGGATCATCCGCAGGCGGGTAGGCAAAGACCTCTTGATCTCCACTTGATCCATCCTTCAGACACTTGATTGCCGTCGGCCTTGGTCGTTGTAGTATTCCACGGAGTTTCATACTCGGGGCACTCTACTGCAGGCGGATCTTCCGCCGCCAGATTCGGGCTTGCAGATCGGGGATCCACGGTCGCTTCCAGGGCCCGATTTTGCCACTCCATGTAACGCCGGGACCCTACTGAGATGCAACCTGGCAGTGGCGGGACATAATCGCCGGCCAGTCGGATCCCGATCCGCAAGTCCTGATGGAGGATCACCACGTTGTCACCGACGTTCGTGATCTTCACGTATCGGATCTTCCCTGGACCGTCGGCTATCGTGGGGACCCAATGATCTCCACGGGTGACCCAGAATTTCTCATGACCCGAGGTCCTCAGGCGTTGGGAGCTCCACTGATTCTTCCGGCTGGACCCTGAGGTATTGCCCAAGATTCACGATCCTGGCCTTGTCGCTGTAAAGCTGTTGTCTTCCGCTAAGCTGGATCCGGACTTCGTCGGTCAGCAGATGGATCCGTTGGCGAGATCCAGGCGGGTCCGGCCGGAATCACGAAGTCCATGCCGAGGATAGCTTCTCCAGAGAGATATCCTACCAAGACATCGAAGAAATACACGAACGATCCTGCGAGAGTTACCTTGATCCGCGTTCTTCCTTCCGTCCGATACACACTACCGGGATCCGACTCGAGTCGATGTAGCACCCAACCTTACGAGCAAAGGCGGTATCCACGACGGACACCTCGGCACCAGTATTAAGGAGTAAGATCGGCTTCTCATTGTGGATCTTGCCGACGATCTTGGCTTGCCGGAACCACTTACCAGGAGCATGATGTTTCCAGTATCCGCGGGATTCTCCCGGTAGGAGATCCAATGTTGGTGCGGATCCGGATCGCCGATACTCCGCGATCCGACTAGGCTTCGTGATCTCGGTGGTAATCTTCTGATCCGCAGGTTTGAACCACAGATCAGGATCCTTCTGCTTCCGGTAACCTCTAGATGCTCCTGGATAAAGTTCCACAGTCATGGTCACATCGGATCTGGCATATTCATCAGCTTGGCGAAGACCGGATATAAGATATGATTCCCATGCAGATCACGAGTATTACCGGGTAGATCTCGCTGCTTGCTAACTTGATCTATCGATGTCTTATGCACAAATGCATAGAT